CAGCATGCTGTGATGTTTTGTGTTTTTTTGGCTGGCTTTTTTTTTTTACATCAGGATTACGTTTTATGGATACTGAGAGGTTGAAGAAAAATAAAAATACCTCTCAGGGATTGAGATTGCAAAGTGAGGGAGGGGAACAAAACAGCACAGAGCACAGCCATTACAGCACAGCTCTGTGAGGGAGACAGGCTGCTTGCTGTGTGTGTGTTCTCCACGCACGGAGCTGTGCTGTTTATTTACACTTCTTTTTATTATTATATATATTTTGCATTATTTTTGTTCATCACAGAGGGTGACACAGTCACGTGGTGCTGCCTCCCCGTGTCACCTACACAGGTAGCCCGGGAACCGCAGGTCACGCCCCCTCTTCTCTCCCGCCTCCGCCTGGCGCCCTCCCTCCTTCCCTTCCCCGCGCCGAGCCCCCAGTGACGTCACGCCCACCTGATCTGTCAAGTCGAGTCACGTGACCGAGCTCTGCACGCCGCCATTTTGAAACGCCTGAGAAGATAGAGAGAGAGAGTGTGAGTATGTGTGCGGGGCGCCGGTGTGCGGTTATGGCGGCTTCGGGCGTCACGGGGGTGAAGGGTGGGAAGGATGTCGGGAGTTAGGGAATGCGGGTAGGGGTGTGAACTTGAGTGTGTCTGTCCCCGCCTCTGCTCAGGTTTCCATCCCTGCCTTCTAAAACAAAGGCCCGGCCATGCTGTGCTAAAGCTGCTGAGGGAAGGACTACAAGTTCCAGCAGGCCTTGACAGCCAGGCTCGGCTGATGTATAAGAGATGGGGGGTTAAGGGGCAACAGTTTACCATGGCAGCTGGCTGGGTAAGTGTGGTTGCTATTGACAACCACCACAGTTGTCCCTAGAGACCGGTCACTCAGCAGTGACAGGGCGTACGGTCATTCTCGTTACATGGCTGGGACTTTTAGCTTACTGGTAGGTTGAGGCCGTGCCAAGATGTTTTGTATGGTGGGGTATGCTGGGAGTTGTAGTATCTGGTCTACAGTGAGGCATGATGGGAACTCTCTGCTTTTAGGTGGTTCTGGGCTTGGCAGGCAGTAGTGGGATTCATGGAGGCAATGGTGGGGTTCCCGGAAGCATGGCAGGCAATAGCGCGCTTCCCGGATGCATGGCAGGCTATGGCGAGGTTCCCAGGCGCATGGCAGGGTTCCCGGATGCATGGCAGGCAATAGCGTGCTTCCTGGACGCATGGCGGGGTTCCAGGACGCATGGCGGGGTTCCTGGATGCATGGCAGGCAATGGCAATGTTCCCAGGCGCATGGCAGGGTTCCCGGACTCATGGCAGGCAATGACGGGGTTCCCGGGCTCGTGGCGGGGTTCCTCGGAAGCGCGGCAGGCAGTGGCTGGGTTCCTCGGAAGCACGGCAGGCAATGGCGGGGTTCCTCGGAAGCGCGGCAGGCAATGGTGGGATGTGTGGTTCACTGGCTTATGGAGATGCATGCTGGCATATGTGGTTCATTGGGACGTGGCAGGGTATGCTGGGAAATGTGGTTTACCGACCTACAGCAGAAAATGCTGGAACATGTTCACCGGTCCATGATGGTGCTGGGATGTGTGGTTCAGCAGGACCTTGTAGTTCACTGACAAGTGGCATGGTATGCGAGGATGTGTTCAGCAGCGTTAGGGCATGTTGGGAGTTACTGGCTACTACATGGGGTTTGTCAGGAGCGGCAGAGGCTGCTGTAACTTGAGTGCGCCATAGAATTGGAAGGCGTGGATGTTTGGTATGCGGGGTCCCATAGTTCCCAGCAGCTGCAAGTCCTGTGTGGCAGAACATTGTGGATGCTTGCAGGTCCCCGGGTATTACACATTAGTGTGCACGGTATGGCTAGTGTAGGAAGTAGATCACCGTGGGATGGCTAGTGTAGGGGGTAGGTCACTGCGGGATGGCTAGTGTAGGAAGTAGATCACCGCGGGATGGCTAGTGTAGGGGGTAGGTCACCGCGGGATGGCTAGTGTAGGGGGTAGGTCGCCTCAGTATGGCTACTATAAGCAGAGTTTCCATCCTTCATTGAAACTCTGCTTTTAATGTGTCATTTCTAGACATGTGAATTCTTGGTGTCCACATGTGTTGTTGTCATGAGCCGGTTGCCGCGTTGCTGTTGTCATGAGCCGCGTTGCTGTTGTCATGAGCCGGTTGCCGCGTTGCTGTTGTCATGAGCCGCGTTGCTGTTGTCATGAGCGTGCCGCGTTGCTGTTGTCATGAGCCGGGTGCCGCGTTGCTGTTGTCATGAGCCGGGTGCCGCGTTGCTTTTTAAGTTGGTTTTTAAACCTAAGTTACTTACAAAGTTTACCAAAGAACGCCTACAACCCACATCCTGGATCAGCACTGGGATCCACCCAGACTATTGACAAACCATTCTCCAACCTGTTGAGACGACACGAAGTAGCAGGGCTCGGTGTGCAGTTTTGGATGTTATGTATTTGTAACACGCTGCTGGTTTAATGATAGATGGCAGATTTATGACTGGAGCAAAAGTAAAGCCGATGATGGAACAATGTTTCCATTTTAATGTCCTAACCTGCCCGGTGAAAATACAATACCTTGGCAAAGTTTGTACAAAAGAATAATATTTTAAGGTCAAACAAAAACATTTTGCATCTTTTATTGTGGAAGGAACTAGTCGCCAGTATTGCCCGTTGGCTTCCTTCTGTTTGGCCTTTTACTTTGGCACATTACCGAGTTACAATGACTTGTATCACACTCTGTCTCTGTGTGCAGGTCTGAATACCAGAACAGAGCTGCAGATGAATTGCAAGTTACCTTTTGGATGATTTTCCAACCTCTACCTCCGGCAAAAGTCAATCTAATGATCGACTTCTGCTGAAGGTATAGGCTCAAGGAGTGAATTTTGGCCGATTCCTCCTGAAGTGCCAAAAATTAGCTCTGTGTATACCCGGCTTAACCCATAGAGTGCTGGGGGTAGCCTCACTGCAAGGGTACTCTATTTGTGTGCCTGGAGACTGGCTTTAAATCGGTTAAAAGAATATCCCTTCTCCCCGTTTAATTCTCAGATCCCCAAAAAATACTTTGGATGCTCCGGATGACATTCGCTTTTACAGATGTTCCTCACTTACCGACTTACCTGTTTTGCGACCACTCGCACTTACGACGGACCGCCAATCGACCTCCGACCTTGCGCGTCAGTGCGCCGTGTCGCCGGCGGAAGTGACATCCTCCGATCTTCACTGCAGGTCCCGGTAAGTATTTCCATTGCCCGATGTACAGTACACGGTTCAGTACTGTACATCGGCAACGCTTTACAGTACTGTACTAATGCAGTACAGTACTGTATAGAGTTCCTCACTTAACGACCAATCCGTTTAACGACCTGGTCGTAGGAACGGAACTCGGTCGTTAAGTGAGGAATACCTGTACTTCATGAGCCAGAAACGTTCGCACAAGCGAATGCAGCGTCGTTCTGAATTTTACCGATGGCAGACCTGTGCAAATCTGTCCAAGCAAAGCAACAACATCGATCTTATCTGAATGTTAAAGTAGTTTTAAGGTCTGGGCATTTTTTACCTTTTAATGCAATTTAATCCTCCTGTCCCATCGCACTCCTGACCGGACAAAAACCCAAATCCAACTGGGTGGGTGCGGTGGTGACAACGGATGCCTCCGTGAAATGTAGATAGAAGAAAGTAGTCACTCGCACTCCATGATATTAAAGTCAATGCTGTTTATTGACTGAGATAACACACATCTCCTTAGTGATGTTTCGAGACCATGCGGTCCCGTCCTCTGCCTGAAGACGGGACCGCATGGTCTCGAAACGTCGCTAAGGAGATGTGTGTTATCTCAGTCAATAAACAGCATTGACTTTAATATCATGGAGTGCGAGTGACTACTTCTTTTTACCTTAATGCATTCTCAACATTAGGGTAAAAACGGCCCAGCACCTTTTTTCTCCCCCAGTCCCCCCCACACTTGCCTGTCACGAAGTTATCCTCCTTTCCCCGAATTGCCTGGTTGCGGGAGGATACTGATGGCAGGGGAGCCATAGGCAGAAGGAGCCTGAACTTCTTCTTAGTTGCGGGGTGGGTTCCCCGAACTTCCTGGTTGCAGGGGGAGGATACTGATGGTAGAGGAGCCATAGGCTCCATAGGAGCTATAGGCACAAGGAGCCCGAACTTCCTGGTTGCGGGGGGAAGGATACTGATGGCAGAAGGAGCCGTAGGCTCCTTCATCCATCAAAGAGAGAACGGGCATGACCTGCCACAGGGCTGTGTGTGTCTTTGTACGGGTGTCTCCATTAGAATGATAGTGGCACCCACACAGGGGGCGAGGGGAAGATTGCTGCGGGGACCCACTAGAAAATGAGGAATTAAAAACTTTTAAAGAAGAACGGCAACAGCCTCAAGAAAAGGTGGGTCTCCTTGTAGGAAATATTTTGTTTTTTTTAAAAAGGAGACTTTTTAATATCACTTTAAATTGAAAATTCTCCCGATCGGGGAAAAAAAAAACCTAGGGACAGAACTCTCCAAAAAGCAGCATTCTAAAGATCGCCATTGTATCCAAAATAAAAATATAACATTTATTGTGTCCTAATAGTAAATATCAGCAAATGTACAAAGGGGAGGCTGTTGCCTGGTCCTCCGGACATGTTAAGGAGTCGCACGTGAGGCCCCCCTCTAATTATTAAGTTGGCCACCACTGCTCTACTCTTTGCAAAGTGTAGGAAAGAACTTTGTCTGCGGTTCTACTTTGATGTTTAACTGGCAGAAGTATCCTGAGAGTTTGTCTGAAGTCCCCCCAGGGCTACATGAGCATGACTCTGCCGCGTATGCAGTCATCAGCTGGGGCTGAAGGCTTCTGGTAAATAGAAAGCGGTTCTGTGTTCCTGCTGGAGCCTGATACATGATATTAAGAGTCCAGAAGCAGCAAGAGCGTGTGTAGTACGCCTGGAATCTGCATCCATCTATGTATGTCTCTCTGCTTTTAGCTTGGGAGCTTTTGAGCAGCCCAAAAATAGCATCCTCCTTCCTCCCGCCCTGCCTGGTTTTTTGTTCTTGCGATCTCTGCGGAAACGCACTGTAGATGGTTCTCAACAGCTGCACAAGACTTCAAGATTTGACAGTAACGTAGCTAACCACGTGGCACGGGCCCCGCGCCATGCCCACATTCCTCGTTCTTCTCCCGGACACCGGCTCTGCCTCTGTGCTGCACCACAGAGGCATTTCCTAGATCTCGCCGTCTGAAACTGGAGATTTTGTGTTTCTGAAGAACGTAATTACTGGCACCGTTCCCGAGCTGTTCAGGGCTGCGTTTCTCAAGTTTTCCGAGATCGTGGAAGTGCTTACAGCAAGCGAGGGTGTCATTTATAATGATGCATGCGCTTCGTGCGGGATCCAGGAGCTTTGCATACGCTTGCAAGTGTGTCTATATTAAGTCGCTCTTGTTTGTACAATGGTCAAATGGCTCATGTGGTATTTTCATACTGAACAAAAGTGACAATACAGTGCCAAGCCCAAAACTTTTTCTCGTTTTGGATAGAGTGGAAA